GTTCTAATAGAAGAGGTAGAAGCTAATACTAACTAGCTAAGTAAGGAAGTAATAGAGATTATATTAAAAGAGGGCCTATTATTTATAGAGGAGGCTAAGGAGTACTTAGTAGTAGGTATAAGCGATATAATAGAGGTAGATAGTTAAGAGGAGTATCTATATATTTCTTTTATTTATATAATATATTAGGGGATATAATCAGGAGGCGACTACTTAGTTAAGAAGGGACGTATATAGTAAGATAGTAAGGTTCTAAGTCGGAAGATAGTTAGCTTATTCCGTAAGGTTATATAAATAGGCGTAATAGCGTGTAATAAATATATTATCTTCTCTCTCCTACTCTTACTACTTATTTAGTTAGTAGTCCTCTATATCCCTGCTTACTATACACTTTAATAGCACTACCCCACTTCTTTATAATATACGTTCCTTTCTCTGTAATAGCTATATTAATCTTATATAAGCTAAGCTATTAGTAGCTAAGCTTTAGTTTAGAAGATATATTAACTTCCTATTTAGTATTATATAGTAAAATAATATTATTAACTTTAATTTCTACTTAATAAATCTGCTAACTAGTATTAAACCTATCTTTACCTATTACTTATATCTTATATTACTTTATAATTACCTTCTCTAAATTTTTATCCTTAATTTAAATCTACTTTATATAAAGAGCTAGAGTCTCTGCCTCTATCTAAGTATTCTCTTAATCTATAACCCTTTAAGTAGGGACTTCTATTTCAACTAATAGAACTACCTTTAACTTATACTATATCTAAAATAGTATATACCTAGTCGTTTCTTTTACTATATAATAATCTACTAAAAGTACTACGTGCAGATTTCTAACCTAATTACCTATTCCCTTATCTATTATCTTTACTAAGATATCCACGATAGGTTTATAACCCCTCTTTACTATTCTATTTACTAGGGTATAATAAGCTAATACTACTACTTTTTAGATTCTATATTTCTAAGTAAGCTCCTTTACTTATTTCTTATTTTCCGGCCCTTTATTAATAACTAGCTTCTTAAAGATTCTATAGTAATATATTATATCTTCCTAGAGGAAATCTATAATAGCTACTGAAGTTATATTAGCTAGGGCTCTAGCTTTAACTTATCCGGATAGATTATCTTATACTATAACTAAGTAGCGCTTTCCTTACTTTAGTAGTAAATATACTATATCTATTCTTACTTTAGTTTATAAAGCGCTAATCTATATAAGATAAAGCGCCTCCTTTATCCTTATAGAGTCCCGAAGTTAATAAGCTTTATACGTCACTATATAAGCCTTTATATCTAGGTATAATAAGTCCTAGAAATACCTTTTTATAACTTTCTAGTAAATACTTTCTTATCCCTTATAACTTATATCTTTATAAAGGGATTTAAGGATTATTTACTACTTCCTTTTACTATCTATAACCTTTCTTATTAGAAGACCTTTATTAGTACAGTAATATAGAACTCTATCTTAAACTATATAATTTAGAGCTTACTACTTAAATCCTCTGAAGTCCTTAAGGTTAACTCTACCTAGTTACTTTAGCGTAAGAAGATACTTTATAATAAGCTTAGAATCTAAACTCTATACCCTTTATAAGTAAAGTACTACTCTCTTAGTTTAAATACTAACTTTAACTTAACTAAACTAAGTATTTATAAAGTTATTAATATCCTCTTCTAGAGCTTTAATATCTAACTCTTTCTAAGTAGCTAATTACTTAGATAGCTTATCTACTATTATATATTTTATTCCTAGTATATAGTATACTTCGAAATTAAAAAAGTATATCTAAGTAATCTATCTTATAACTAGAGCCTTAGGTAAGTCTAACGCCTCTTAATTAAGCTATATAACTAGAATTATAGTATCTATTTCTAGGATAAAATAGCAGCTAATTAGGATCTCGCGAACTTTCTTTAATATCTTTAAAACCCTATGATACTCTCTCTTAGTAGTATTATAATTTCTTTTTATAACTATTTATACTCCGCTATTATACTTAATAAGATAACACTTAAGGTTATAATCTAGTTATATTAAGACTATCCCCTATCTCTATAAGCTTATATTTACTACTAGAATTACTTCGCTACTTCCTTTAGAGATATCTAGCCTTACTAGCGCTAGAGCTATTATTAGAGCTAACTTTAGCGTATCTATTATAAACCTTTTAATATCCTTAAATTTCTACTCTACCCTTTTTTAAAGTAAAAGGTATAGTAGCTTAGCTTTTCTAGTATAATCGATAATCTAAATATAGTAGTAGCTATAGACTCTAAGAAACGCCCTAACTTCAGTTGTGTTTTAGTATTCTTATTAGTTAAGTATTTTTATTACTTTTTTATTATCTAGTAACTTACTTTCTGTAGTATAGATATAACTTACTAACTTCAGGCTATTAATCCTAAACTATAACTTAGAGCTAATTATTACTCTCGCCTTTTTTATATTAGCTAGAACTATATTTAGATTTAAAAAGTGCTTTAAGTATAGCGCGCTTAGTATACTTAGGGCCGGTATAACTGAAATATACTTAACTTCCGCTATCCTAGAATTCATAATCCTTGATTCTTAATAGCTTTTCTTCTAGACTTAAATATATTTTACTATATTACTTTCTTCTATACTTAGTATTCTTTAGTTCTTAAGATCTCTTAGAAATATAGTTATATTAGGGAATTTAGTAAACGATTTAAATCTTTAGTACTTACTTATAAGGTATAGTATACCTAATATTACTAGAATTAAAAGTGCTAGAGTTACTAGTAAGAGTATAGCGATTATACTCCTTATAACTTTTAGACTTAGCTCTCTTAACTACTCTGACTTCCTTAACCTCTTTTCCTTATATCCCTTTTTCGCCCTACTTTAGGCCTCTTTTTTATATTAGACTTACTTTCTTTTTATATTTATTTATTCCTTACTTATTTTCTTTATATAAACTTTCTCTATTACTATAGTAACCTTATCTTTTAAGCTCTATATAATAACTTTCCTTTCTATACTTCCTTAGCCCTCTCTACTTATATTCCGCTGTTTCCTAATATCTTACTTACTAAATAGGGGTTCTTAGAGTCCCTTTTTTTTAGCTACTTCTTATATATCTATCTATCTCTATAATAAAGATACTAAGTAATAAAATTCTAACTCTTACTTTTACTACTAGCTTAGCTATATCCTAACTACTCCTTTACTTTACTTTTAGTTCCTTACGTAAGTTATTAATATAAAGGAGTAAGGTAGTGCTATTAAAGTATATAGTAAGTAAGGATATAAAGGACTACTAACTAAATAAGTAGTAAGAGTAAGAGAGAGAAGATAATATATCTGTTATATACTATCGCGCTTATTTATATAACCTTACGGAACAGGCTAACTATCTTCCGACCTAGAACTATACTACCTTACTATAATATTAAAGTTAAGATATTTAAGGAGTTCACGAAATTCTACCTTTTTAATAAGTCGTAGAGGTTAAGAGTAAACAGAGATGAATCTGTAAAAAGTTAGTATTTAAAATAAGTAAGAATAGCTATTAAACCTTATGTAGAGTAGCTCTAGCTAGTTAGAGTTAATACTCTATCTATTTGTAGTCCCTATATTTCTCCGCTTGAATTAAAGCTCCTCCCCTATTTCTAGCTATCGTTTAAAGCTAGAGCTAAGAGGTATTTAATATGTAGAGTTGCTAAAGGTAATAGCTATACTGCAGGGATCACCTTTCTTTAAGCTGTAAGTAGTTAAATAGAGCTCCGCAGACCTAGTTCTACTGCTTATTAGATAAGATTAACTACAGTAGGTATAGCGCTATTACTCTTTGCTTGTAATCTCTTTATAATACTTCTCCTTGATATCTTCACTTAGTATATACTAAAATATCCACGCCTATCGTTTCCTAAGCTTTAAAGGTAGTTCTAAAGCTATAAGAGCCTCTAATATAGCACAACATGTTATAAGGTCTAAATTAACAGGAACTAAAGGTATAGTATCGTTTTCAGCTAGTAGATAGCTAAATAGTAGCTAAACTTAATAGCTACGTCGTCTTTATAGTATTAAAGTATTATTTAACGTGTTAGAGGTATTAGAGGTATTATTTATATAACGACGAGCTATTAAGGGAGCTATTTTTAATAAGGTAAAATCAAGATATCGTTACAAAACACCGGTAAGAATTAAGATAACTTCAAGTGAGAATTATAATATAACTACGCGGCTGAAAATTACAAATAAGATAGCAAATAAAAGCTCTCTACTGTAGCTTTTAATTAAACTTAATTTAATATAATTATAGTAAGAATTACTTAAGCTATACGCTCTAGAGTCTCTACTTGAACTTGATTTCTTTTAGGTTTCAAGTACCTGCGCTAGCTATAGCCCGCAGCAAGGGACCTAGCTAAAACAGGTAAAACGTACCCGTTTAGCGAGAAATCTGACTAACTAACAGCTGTTCTCAGTCGCTGGAACGAACGCTAGTCCGTTTAGGGTAGGCGGCAACGAACGGCAGTTAGTTCCCGTTTTGCCAAGAACAGCAAAACTATTAACTACATTAGGGACAGCGAAACAGGAAATATTAGAGACGGCGCGAGGAAGTAACTGAAAAATAAAAACCCTCGGGCCTAGGTCTTGGAAGCTCCTTGAATATGGAGGTTTTTCCATGTCTTGTTTTCTATGGCACTTTTTCTATGAGCATAGAAATTTCCCTGTCCATAAAGACCGCTGCAACCGTAGTGTCACTTGCTGGGAATATCTGACAACACTCTCTCCGTGTTATCCTCGAGGGGAATTTGAATGTTTTATGGCTAGTAAAGGAGGTTATCAATAGAAAAATCCGTTTTGGCTACCTTTCAAAAGGGGATGCCATCTCACACATCAAGAATTACCTATAAATCCAAATCCAAATTTCCCCTCAACACGGTGACACGTGATATCGCGTTAGGTTAGGATTATCCTCGCCCTGGATATGAAGCTACCTAAAAGTAGAATAATTGAACAAGCCACAATCTAAAAGTGACTCATAGACTCTAAAGGGCGGGTTATCTTTGCCGCTTTGACGCCCAGGACGGGATATCGACTCGGATCCCCATGATCATTGGCTTCGAGACTCAATACCCCGCTTCAGCTGGCTGCATGTCAGAAATTGAATTGACTTTAAGACGCGGTGCATCTCAGCTCCGAGGACAACAAGGCGCGTCACCCTGCCAGAATTCATCAAACAATGTAAGAACGAGAGACATATATTGACCCCATATCCACTTTCATGTCAACAGATTCCACAGGATAGTTCTTTCAATCAACAAGACTAACTCCCTCTCTCACAATGACCGAACCAACTCCAGAACTCAAAACCTACCATGGCAATTGCCACTGCGGTGCTTTCAAATTCAGCGTCAAGATTCCCGAGTTGAAAGGAGCAATGACATGCAATTGCAGCATGTGCTTGAAAAAGGGGACATGGTGGGTGATGGTGGGTCCGGGAAATCTTAGTATTGAGAAGGGTGAGGATACATTGAAGAGCTATGAGTTTGGGAACTGCACTATGGATCATAAGGTATGACCAGAAAAGCGATTCATGCGTAGAGGGAAGCTGATGAAGAAAGTTCTGCCCCACTTGTGGAACTGGTGTTTATGCCAAGGTCAAGAAATCACCTGCTGGAGTGGATATTGGTCTCAATGTAGGGTTCTTCATTCTCACCTGTGCATCTTCGTGACTGACGAATTGTAGGTGAGAACCTTGCGAGATGTTGATCTGTGGTCTTTGGAAATCACGAAGTAAGTCACCGCCTTCATGCTCGTTAACACTGAAGAGTCGGGCTAATTACTCCAAAGAATGGATGGCGCTGCTCTCGAGCCAAAATATAAACCTCACCTATACACCGGACCAGAGCCCACTGCCGAGTTCGAAAATGCCAAAGTTTACACCGGAAGCTGTCATTGCGGCGCAGTAGGAATGGCAATGAAGACTGCTGGTCCCCTTGCAAAAAGCGGTCAGCATATCGAAGAGTGCGACTGCAGCATCTGTGCACGAGTAAGCCACCTCTATCCTTCCTTGCAAAATACTTCAGAATAACACCCAATCAGGAAGGCGTAATACTCACCTACCCCTCCCCCTCCCAAATCCACATCACCAACGCCTCTTTCCTAACATCCTACTCATGCGGTCGTAAATGGCGCAGCTGGGAATTTTGCCCAATCTGCGGTGTCTGTGTCTGGGCTAGGAAGCACGATCTCACTCCGGAGCAATATAATGCGTTTGGTGATGCGGATGAGGACTATGCTGTTTGGAGAGCCAGGATGAATGTCAATTTGAGAGTGCTGGAAGGCGTGGAGTGGGATGAGATAAAGGTTGAGAGGGGTGAGAATGAGAGTGAGCCGAAGTATGTTGTGGTGTGAGGAGGGATGGGAAAGACTGTGCACATGAGGTTGCCGTTCGTTCTTGTACTGTGTGTGTGATACCTTGATCTTTCATTATCTCTCACTTCTGCGTGCTCCCCCATTCGTGACTTTCAATCATTATTTGCTTTGTTTCCCTGTCGAAGCGAGGTCCCTAACAGCTCAAAAGTACGTGTTTCCAGCAGATAGTACATAGACATGTATAAGGAGGAGGTAACTTCGGACCTTGATCAAAATGAAAATTACGAATCTTTACGGCCGTAGTTTAGAGTCTACATAAATCTGTAGCCTTTGTGACAGAGCGCATGTACTGTTCCTGGACTCCTACGACCCATCAAAGAGCCACGGGAGGTAGCAAGAAACATGGCTTGACCTAAGATGCTGTTATCCTACGAAGGATTAGCCTGCATGTACATAGATGCGTATGAAAGGAGAGCTGGATGTGTTTCCAGGACCACGCAAAGCGTCTCGTATTGAAAGCAGTCAGCATCAGCTTGCATCCAATGTAAACATTACGTGCTCTGCGAATGATGTGAGTAGAGTAGGGACTTACAATCATCTAGAGAAGAGTTTCAGAAATACATAGATGGGGCTTGAATTTGATCACAGTTACTATTCGTGTCAGAGTTCACCCTGCCAATATTTAGACTCCTCGCCAGTGTGTCGCAGGCATCTCTGTCAGCGGCGCAGCGAAGTTGAGGCCAGATCCTCGCTTCCTTCGCGTCCTTTGATTTCTTTAAAACAATCCAAATTGTCCTCGGACGACCGCTGTCATTTCCAATTGAACTTGAAAATGTACTATTCACGAACTCTCATCCTTTTAATAGTCCTGATCCTCCTCTTCCCACCCAATGTCAGCATCGTGGCGGAGATACCGACATAGCTATATTCGCCTCACCCGAAAACATCACAAGAAGAGCTTCACCACATAAGATGCCTCCACAAAACGATTTTCGCACTCTTGAGATCGACCTATTACTGGCCAGTCTCTCGGAAAATATCGATTAGCTAGCGCTGGCAATACATCTCCTCATTACCGTACATTGAATCTCCTTCGGGCGAGTCTGCCTGCGAACCTACGTCAGTAAATCTCCCTCAGACGCAAGACTACATTTTCTTAGAATCATTCCATATATTGACGCCTACCGTCGACTCTTAGTTGTGTCGGTTTTAAATTGAGCATTCAATCACTCGCACCAGTCTTGTGGAAGAGCGTGTATTCAGCTTCGAAATATCGGTTGCTGCTCGATAGGAGTGGCAATGATTTATCATTTATTGAGTCAATGCAGGATCTTGATTGTGACAGAAGCACTGAATGCTCCGAAGTTTGGAATCCAGGATTGTAAGTGGACAAAGAATGTACATAGATCAGGATTATAAATTCGTTGGCTCGTAACTAACACACTTTTCTAGCTACCTTTGAGGGGGAAAAGAAAGGAAACCAGGTTGTATTGTGTGCCAAAATAAAGAGCCGTAATATTAAGCGCACCCATCCAAGATCCAACTAAGACGCGTTGAAGTACAAAGGAGATTCAAGTAACGAAGCAGAGGAACATTAACAAAGAGTGACTTGCTGCGAAAGCTTCGAGACTGTGTTACAATTTGGCGGCCTAACGAGTATAAGCTGGCAGTGAAAGATAACAATAATCGAGGTAGAAACATGGAAATAACATGAAAAGAACATTGGCGAGTCTGGATAGACATCACGTATCAAAGTGGAACCATTGTAGCTGGTCTGAAGAACGCTGTTCCGGAGAGTACTGTGCAGTTCTGTTGTCCTGTAGACGGTAATAGTCGGTTCCCCTTTGTGAGGCTGCGAGCTCTCGCCTGAGTCCCCGAAGGTTGAAAGGGGAACCGACTATTAGTACTCAGAATTGAAGTCCGGCACATTTGGAGGAATGTTCGGTTGTAAATTGTCCTCGCGAAACACGGGGGATGTGTGGTCGAGGGCGAAGCCACCTGGAGCAGGCTGGCTCATGACGATCGACTGGTGTAGTAAGGATGGACTCAAATTGCTGAGAATGGAGATTTGAGTGTCCGGGGAAATATGGGGTTGCATGCACAATTGCGAATACTGAGTATCATGTGGCTGACAGTGAGAGCTGGAGAGGCAGTCTGCGTAATTCGGTTGCGTCGACGCGTTCGATAATAAACCATCACTGTTGCCGAATTGTAGCTCTGAGGAATCCTCGAGGAGAGGGAGGAGCATGTTGGAGGATTGAGAAGGCGACCACCAATTAGACGCACTTGCAGGACCACATGAGCCAGTAGATGGTTTTGAAGTGTTCATACACATATCGAGTTTGGACCCCATTCCTGCGAGGAGATGGTCGCTGGCAGATAGATCGTAGGTCGAAGAGATATTGTTGGAGATCGAGTCGAAACTTGAATTTAACTCCAAATCACTTCCAGATGGCCTGATATTCTTCAGTGTGATGTTGACTCTTGGAAAATGAGGGACTTGATGCAGTATCGAGGTGTCATTGAAGGATGTGTGCCATGGACGATCGCACCCAAGGCTACGCTCTCGTAGCAAGCAGAGTAGTCGCTCGGTACACATTTGGATTTGGTATCGTAGATGAGATACCAATTCTCGCCAGTCTTAGTTTCCCTGCAGAATGTCAGGAGACTCTCACAAAAGTCGCCGAACATAGAGGCTGTACTTACGTGCATGATCTTCATGCTTCTGGTTTCTAAGTCCAAATGAAGTATCCTTAGACCAGCATATGCGATAGCAACCGCGGCAGTCACACTCCCCCAATATTCGTCCGTTTCGGCTTTCACCTCTTTGGAGCAAGCAAAAAATATTCGAGATAGGATCTCGTCCACGCGATTCAGCATGAAATACGTGATCTGGAAGCACAGATTGTTCTCTGACTGGGTCTCGGCATCATCTTGGCTGTCGAAGCTGGGCAATAGTTGTGGCAGGAACCTAAGGAAACAAGACAAGAACTCAATCACTAAGCAACATAACAGTATAATAAGATAAGTAAGCCATAATCTTCTCACCACCAATTCGCATTCCAACCCCACGTCCTGCCAGCACCCAGACCCAAAGAACTCAGCGCACCACCCTTCTGCCTGCCCACACTCGGCACAATACTCTTCAAAGTCTCCTGACCTACACTTCTCTTATTCTTCAGCGCCATATCCATGATCCTACCCCTCTCTTCTTTCACTTCACACAGCTCGCCGCCACCCTTACCCGCAGAGAAGGACGAGACAGTGGTGTTGATGGAGCTGATGCGGTTATTGGGGCTATCATCGACGCTGAAATAATGATCGGCGCTAATGCTTCCTCTTGGATGACGAGAACGATTGCCGCTGCGAGAGTGACGTCGCATTTCTGTCCAGATCCGCCTTGCTGGGTCCATGTCTTCTACGCTGCCGAGTTGTGTGGATCTGGTGCTGCCAAATCTTGCGAAGGGACTTGGAGATCCTGTCGTGCGAGGAGGCGACATGACACCTCTGGCTGAAGCTATTTGCACCAGTGGGGATGAGAGCGTAGAGCTGATACGGGCTGCAAGGCTAGTTGGAACAGGCTTGACAGTCTCTTCGCTTGAGCCACCAATGTGTTCAAATCTCTTCGCTATGGGAATAGGGGTTCGCTCGCCTGCAAGCTTCTTGATGACTTCACGAGCTTGGACTGATGGAAGATAGGTCTCTACCAAGTGAATAAGAGGATTAACCTCCAGGGGAGAATGGATTGTTTGTGAAGTTCGAGGTGACCAAGCCGAAAGCGGGTTGTGCCTTTTTATGACCCCGGTTGCCTCTGTCTGCAATCGCGTGATGTGCATACTCATGCCATCTTGGATGACTCCAGGTTTTTTGATGTTCGGAAACCCAGAATGTTTATATGTTAGGCGCACAGTCAGATAGGGAGTCAAAGTGTCACCTAGATCATTTTCCAGCTGCGCGATTAAGCCGTCCGACGAGGATTCTCTTAAGTGACTTGGAGGGATGAACTTGCTGAAGCGGATTTTTGCGAGAATTAGTTGAGTTTCCCCGGCACGAATAGTTTTGCTCTTGTGCAGATCCCCAATGATTTCTGATACTATACAGCCTTGACCGGGGTGGAGGTCGATACGCATAGAATGTAGTCGTCCATAAGCTGCGATTTCTGGTCATCGTGAGTATTTGAAGCGTGGTAGACAGTATTGACGTACCTGAAATACGAGAACTTGTGGATCGAGACCCATCATATCGAGCTTCGTATCCATCGGCCTTCTGAAGAGTACCAGTGACTTCGATTGCCACCCACAAGAAGCAGCATCCAGTATCCACACTGGAGATCTCAGGTGTGATGACGACCTGGGGGCACAGAACAAAGACGTCCGGTGGGATAATATCGGATACTGTTGATGAGGGTTGATTCCCTTCATGAGAAGATATTCTTGAATTGATGCTAATGTCTGTAATATCTAGACTGCCGGGCCGGAAATCATTACCACTGTCTGTGGAAGCGATGCTGTCTGTATAAGATTCAGCCGAGCTGTGGTTCTTGCTCCGTGACAGTCGACGAATCAATGTTCCTTTGGACGCTCCGGAATCCTTGCGCCGAATAGCTTTGGACTCATCGGACAAGCGACCGCCAATCGCTCGCAGGAAGAAGTTCTTAGATCTGGAAGGTCTACGCTCGGGAATTTTCGGTGGACTACCTTTGGTCGGGCTTGGAGGTTTTCGAGTTGATTGCTGTGGAGTAAACATAGAATGTCGCGTATCTCGTACCGAAAAACTTGTAGCATCGATGTCTTGACTTCTTTGGTAAAGCTCCGATTTGAGAAAAGCACCAGCACTGGCAGTTCTCGTGGACGGTCGAGCCTTCGGCGTAACATCGGGATCATCATCCATCTCGCTCAAATCTCCAAGTTGTCAGCACCGGCTCGTCACTCAAATCCCTCACGACTCACCCGAATGTTTCCTGATGATGTCCGAAAGCGCACTTCCAGACCCAATATCTTCATCAGGCTCCGCCATACTCAAAGCAATCACACTTCCCCTTCCTTGCCTCTTCTTTCTTACTGTCAAAGGTCTGTCGATTCCCTGCGGCGGACTTCCCTTGCTCTCGTAGGACCCGCTAGAAGAGCCGCGTCCTCTGTGGACAACCTCTCTGGGCGATGAGCAGTTGGCGACGGTTTGGCTACGCTTGATGATTCGAAGAGGCTGCGGTTTGGCGATCTCGGATTCGCGAAGCTCCACTCCAGACGGGTTGACCTTGACGGATGCCATATCCTCTTCGCAGTGTCTCCGTATGCGTGGTCTTTGTCACCTTCACTGAAGGATTTGCCGCGACGAGTAGGAACTTGGTTGATAAAGCTGCTGTAACCTTCTCTGGAGTCGATGCTCTCTAGATCGATCCAAGAATCGGCGTATAGTTGAGAAGAGCGAAGGTTTGATCTTCGAAGTTTGCGTTTGCGTTTCGACTGGTTGGTAGTAGACCAGGGATAAGTGTTATTCCAGAAGTTTTTGATGGATCGTCCGGCGCGTTTGCAAAACTCGCTGGCCTTGAGGGCGATAAATGCTGCGGATGCTGCTATTACAATCGGAACTAGGATGAGTGCTCCGATTGCTGAATTATTGCTATTCATAGCCAAAACTTGAAGAAATGTGGACGTTGCAGAATAGACTCTAATGCTGGGTACAAAAGATGGACAGTTGATAATGAAAATCATGTTTTAGGCGTTGGGATTGCAGGGAAGGAGCTACCAAGAATCTCTGCAACAGCTAGTCGGGGACTAAATGGAAATGCTGCACCAGAGTAGTCTCTCAGGGAGTAAAAGAAGATGGGCGATTCTCGTAGATACAAGGGCAAAAATTCTTCATTCCCTGTAATCATTTACATTGCAAACAAGCGACACATGCAAAAGAAACAACGATTATCTGGCGATAAAGCAGAACCACGAGCAGGGAAAGAAAACCACGGATCCTATTCGACATTGATGAATGACAACAGTATCGCAGATAAAATAGAACAGAAATCCTCGGACGTAATGTTGAAATTCCTACCTGCAGTATCTACCCCAAGCACCGTTGAAGAGATGGCTATTGAGGCCAAGTTCGAGAGAAAAGTGGAACATTCTCAGTATGGTCCTGTGAGTTGGTCACCTCCCAACGCGTTGTTATGTATAACCTTAAATGTAAGTGATCGTGAACATAGGATAGATTACTCAACTTTAAATTGCGAATGGGTATCTCATACTAACATCGGCTCCAAATAGAACTCTGCTCAAACGCCCCTCTTTAAAGAGCTGCACAGCAGCAGAGTAGCACATCATGCAACTTCAGACGACATGTTATACAATTCCCCTCCTCTGCACGTCATCCCCAGCCTCAACAGTCGCCCTTACCTGCTCCATGACACCCTCCACCTCCCCTTCGTCCAGATTCAAGAACCGAATCAAATCATCTCCTGCATCTCTTCCAAAAAGCACCGCTTCAGCCACACTATTATCGACTCCCTTCCGAACCCTAACTTCCCATACACCCTCCCAATTCCATTCTCCAGGTCTTCTAGCAGCCATAGGCGCACTTGTACCTCCGGCCAATCTCTGATATCCATCTGGGACGCCTGAACTACTTCCATCATCACTCGATCCATCAGCCCAAGCACCCTTCTCTTTATCCTTTCCGTCCCCGACATTCGGCATAGTCGTCCCAGGTACAGTGAGAGCAGGTAATATCTTCCCTGCTTTTGTCCTGTAACTCCTCCACGCATGCCACGCCCCCGGATTCCCCGCCGCCTCAAGTGGAACCTGATCCAATACGGCATCGTCATCAAATGTACTCCGTATATACCTCAGCACATCGTACGTGCTTACTTCATCCTTCCTCCCCACCCCATCACCACTTGCTGTCGTCCCAGTTCCAGGCGTAGGACTCCCGCTCATCCCACTGAACCCGCTGCCCGGACTTGATACCCCGCTCCAGCTCCCTCCTGCTCTCCCAGGCGTCTGCAGCTGCCCACTTGCGCCTCTCGAGCGCTCCGCACTCCGTCGACTCGCACGTCCAAACCACCCTGGAAAGCCGTGACGTAGGGAGAAGCCACCGGGTGGAAGCCTCTCCTCGTCTGTTGCTGACACGGTACCGCCGTCTTGAATATCTGTTGTGTACATGTAGGTTGTGAGGGGTGTGATGAGAGGGTGGAAGATGTCGGTAGAGAAGGTTACGAGGGGTGGGAGAAGTGGGTAGGTTGGTGGGAAGGAGATTTGGAAGCGTAGGATGGAAGGGGCGTAGGGTCCTGAGATGAGTTAGTCAGAGAAGTGGCATAGGGGCAGAAGGATTGCATCGAGAGTATGCTGACCTTTACGTATGAAGAGTACGCCGGACCAGAGGGTTGGATCGCCCGGTGTGAGGGACATGAAGACGCCATGTGGACAGGCGTACTTGAGACTCGAGCTGCGACTTGCATATTAGCTTTACTTCCTAACTACAAACTCGGATAATTAATAAGAAACAGGAGTTGGATCACAAACAATTCAACAAGTAAATGCTGCTTCCGCACAGCGGGGAGATTGGAAAGCTGTCGTGGTGCCATCGTTGTGTTCCTGACGCGTAAATTGAAGTTGGGTGACGTGAAGTCAAGCTTCGAGGTTTCGGGGTCGCTAAAGGTTCTAGAACACGAATTGTCTCGACTCCAGTGACTTTACAAACAAAACATCTTAGCCGAAGGGGTCAGAATCAAAGTCTATTGTCATTATCCATGAATGCATTATCCTAATTTTCGGGCCTGCGATTTTGTGCTTTGTGCGCACCAGTATGCCTTCTCAAGGACCCTATCAAACTTGGCTGGTCATGTCCCCATTCCTGTAGGCACCTCTCCTCCAGCGCACGGCAATTCACGGCCAGTATGTACGTCAATCTCGATTGTTGCCCTCTCTGCCTCACTTTCCACCCAGCCTAACCTCAATCTTCGCCTTCTCCTGCTCTCGCAACTCCTTGATCTCTTCCTTACTAGCGTCGTACCTCGCGCTAACCTGGTTAAATGGATTCTCCTCACTCTTCTCAAATTCTTTCCGAATCCGCTCCCTCTTCTGGTTCTGCCTCAGACCTTGTCCACTCCCATCAGTCTCCATCTCCTTCAACCTACGCTCCTCATACGCCGCGAAAGCCGCCTTGAACCTCCTTTCTGGATGTTTATCAATCTTGGCCGCCGCGTCCGTAGTCAAGCTCAGCGCATCCAGCGCATTGTCAATACCAGTGGCGTTGAGTGCTCCTGGTGCAGCCGAAGGTGTATCGTCGAGTTGGGAGAGGTCGAGGCCCTTGTTAGTCTTCTTGACAGCGACTTTGGAGTTCTTCGGAGCGGCGCGGGCTTCTTTCTCTTCTTCAGCGAGGAGGGCGTCCTTTTCGGCTTTCTTGCGTGCTTGTTCTGCTTTCTTTGCAGCTTCTGCTTCCCTAAATCACAAACCAGAGCCTCAGTAAATGCTTTGGAAGGTGGGGTGTTCATATTGTGTTGCGATGCGGGGTAATTTTCCCCCTTCCAAAGCGCGAGGAACAATATGTCAAGAGAGTGACAAGTAAGGACCGTGAATTGCAAGTTGGAACGTACTTCTTTGCTGTATTCTTAGCACCCTTTCCCCATTCTTGGTCCTCTTCCGCAGCTTTCTTTGCGTTCTCCTGCGCAGCTTTCGCAGCTGCGGCTTCGGCCTTCTTCGCGTTTCCCGAAGCCTTCTTCGTATTCTCCCCAGCAGCTTTCTTGCCTGCCATATCTGTGATTGTTACCGTCTGTTTGTTTGTGTGTTCGGAGGCTCGAGTTCGGTACTATTTTGTGCAAGGCTTTCAAGGAGAGGGATTTCAAAAAGATGATATAGTATTCACACGAATCAAAAGGGCTTTCGTTTTACCCCGCCACCACACTGCCCACCAGTGACTCGAATGGCGGCGATTCGTTGTTCCGGCCATGCTCGTGATTGTCATCACGTGGACCGTCGTGATTCCTGGCTTCCAGTTTCGACTTCTCAACTGCATGCCTAGTCCAGAATTCTTCTCGTCGATACCACTCGATAAACCTCCATATCTATTACTCAATGTCGAAACTCGAGCTGGCCACATTATTATTCCGAGCGGGTTTGTCAACAAAACTGCAGGGGAACGCTGAAATTCGCCCAAAGCCCCCCTCCTCGTAAATTCAACTCCTTATCTCTCCACAAATCAGCCATAATAATCTGTCACATCCAGCGTATCTCACAAGCATATCACAGAAGTAAAACTAATCTCGCTCATCTCTCCAGAACAGAGTAGTGGCACTTGAGATCAGCTAGCTCCAGCGTCCTCTCGATCCTCATGCACCAACGAAAATTCCTACATCATTTCCATACAACAGGACCATCAACCGATAAGAAAGCAGTGGGAGTGTTCTCCTTCCATGCATTGCATGCCCAGACAATAACCATGATACGTGTGAAGCTGGGAGAGGCTTTCCATCCCATGCCAACTCAAATTCTGAGGCTGTCGATACATCCCACCGACCATTCGATCATCATCTGACCTCTTCATGAAAATATGACAGGTTAGAGACGTATCTACTGCATGCTACATTCTGCAACAGGGGAGCGAAACTGACAACTCATGTACCACGAGATTGACATTTCAAGATCCTCGGAAAACGGACGCAGCTTGCCATCCATCCTGCAGTGCGAGGCTATCTTCAACCAAACTCGGATGCAATGCACCGTCCCATTTGTCAGGATACTTCCCCGAGTACACAGGCACCAGATAGAGTCAGACTCACAGCTGCTCTGACACCAACAGACGAAAGGATTAAGACTGAGATATCGTGATATTGCATTCTCTCAAGGACGGAAAGCTGCACCTCGCCATTTCTGAATGAGGCATCCCCCGATTGTAGTTCGCAATTACTGGATGTGGAAGCATACGATAACGACATGGAAACGATGAGAAATTGTAGGGCTCGGTCGGTCTGTGACAACAATTGACCTGCATTGCATGAGGTCTTCAATCCGGCCGAGGAAACGAGGAGACGAGAAAATGCGAAGTGAGAAAAAGAAAATCCAACAACTCATGGACCGAAAACGTCGGATGACGGACCCGATCCTCTCATGATACTCTTCCTACAGCCGCATCTTCTACGCTATTAATAACGTCCAAGAAGAGATCCTCAAAATTTACTCAGATACCAGATATCTCGATAGCTTAGTTTGGCGCCACGTAATACCAATACCAGTAAACAAAAAACCCAGAGATCGAGGAAGACAATCCCACCAACGAAATGATTCTGCAAGCGTTACACGCGCGGCCCTATTTCTGGCCCCCACGGCGGCACCACTCATCCGTACGTTCGTCTTAGACGGGTGAGCGGCAAGGCTTGTTGGTTATGAAGTTGGTTTCGGTATTCGGTGAGGATCGCCCATGCCAGTGCCATGCTATGCCATCGCCCTATGAGATATGGTACCGCACGCAGCTTACATGTGCATCGCGGTATGTAATGCATATCTCAGTCTTTGCGTCTCGTCAATGGCGTTGGCAGATGGCTTTGCAGATAAACGAGCGCACGGTCGAGTCAGGCTGCATCTGTTGATTGAGGCTTTGGTTGACGGCAACACGGCAGGAAAATTGATGAACGGATAAGTGCAAGGATGAACGCGAAATAAGGGAAACATAGACGCGATGGGGTTCTGTCCTATCCTATCTTACCCTACCGAGTCTTCGGAAACCCATCTCCTGATCAATGATGATATCGAAGTTTTGTATCCGGGACAGAGAAAAGCGGAGGAAGTGGGAAAGTGGGAAAGTGGCAAGACAGAGTGATGCCTAAAGTCGTACAGATTCGTACAAGGCACGAGCATCAATCACTCCTCTGTTCGAAGTGATATCATGCAGGGCTGACGATACCATGACATGGCAGAATCCATATGAAATTTCTGCTGTCCACTCATCCGCTTCCTATCGTATCAGATCCTTTCCATCGTATGGTGCCATTCGCTTATTCGCACCTCAAATCAACACGAACTAAGAGGCGCTGGTGCAGGAAACCAACAGAAAATCACAACGGTGCAGAAACACCAAGCAAGTGGCTACGATTCATAAAAGAGGACCAACGGAACCAACAAACATTTCGCACCTCCACGGCGCGCTGCATTGAAGATGACCCAACCGGCGATCGCGGCGCGCGGCTATGATCCGATGAGTTATGAAGGACAGGGAAAATCAAATGAAGCATGATCGAAATATCATCACATCTCACCCGACAATGCAGCTAGCTGCACAGGATATATTTAAGATTTGTGCATACATACAGAGGACAGGGTATACCACATACATATACGTGCGGCGGGCACATACATATGCAAACGCCGCCGTCCAAACGCCCGGCTCATATGCCGAGAAAATACTCTCGGAGGCCGAAATATCCCCTCCGCCACTCGTCAAGGAAATTTTGTCTATCGTGTGACTCTCAACGCACGAAAGAGGATCAGGACGATAGTGTTTAAAACAATAATTCTCTTTTCCGCTGGTCGGTGAGCACTGAATGATAGAGAGCGAGACCGAAACCGGCGCACGAGTTGACTGAGCGGTGTGAGGTACTATGGTGTATCTATACGGACCGGCCCATCACGCGGCCAGCATAACAGGAGGGCGCGGACATGAGGCTGACGGACCAGGCCCAAGCTTACCTACTTAGCCCGACCTGATATCAACATACAGGATATTCGGCTCGCTCGCTTGCTAGCCTCATGTTTCGGTACACCCGAGAATAGCTCATACCTTGGAGCTCCCAGCTGTGACTATGGGAGGATTGCACTGACGTTGCAATAAGGTGAGACATGCATATATGTATGACGGTGATATTCTTCCACAAATAGAGTCATACCCATTCATGTTGTTTGACCACCAGGGGGGCAGATAACCATTCAATCGCCCCTGGATCTAGGACGCTGGGAAAGTCTCGACCGTGGCACGAGTAGAAACCACTGTTCTCCTGAAGAGATACCATGGAAAGGACTCTCAATTGCATCTAGTGATTCTCGCCTGCTGGCTGCTTGAGCCCAGCCCCTGCGGTTATTGACTCGAGCTGCCACTGCGGCAATTGATCGGATTGGATCGGATCTACATCAGGGTATGTACATTTAAAGTACTGTTTTACTGTCCAGTGTATGCAGAGGTACATACATTTACATGCAGCAGTCACCTTAGGATACCCTCCAACCTGCATGCAAACTCCCCTCGCAACATCCTATACGGCCGTTCAGCAGAGGCTGACGTTGGTTCTTGCTTGACCGAGTAGCATATGCACGATATACCATGTAACATGCAAGCCAACGAAGGGAAAGAAGAGACGAAGAATAGAAAAAGAAGGATACATGCATAGGGGCTGGCCTGCGAATACCAGACCCCATGCTTGATGGTCCCCAGCGAAAATAAACATTGCAACAGACCCTGAATTCAACCTCTTACTCTCACCGAATACCCCTACTTACCCCTTCTGGAACCTATCTACACTTACATCTTACCTTCTAGATGTTTCATTTAGCAAGCAGGGCAACGAAAATAAAACATTCGAAATCGTAGAAAGCCTACCTTACCCCCACGCACCCTAACTCTCTCTCACTCCTTCGTTGCCCCCCGTTTTCCACATATCTTATCCAAGGAAAGTCCTACAATACCTGTCTACCAACCTACGTCTCTCTCTATCCCTCCCTCCCATCCAAACATCCACCCCTCGAGATTCCCCCTCTCTCCAAACCCTTCGTCCCCTCTCTCCGCCAAAAAAGCGTCTCTACCCACCCACTCACCTACTCTCCCATACCCCACTGCCAACACCGCCCAACATCGTGGTTCCTGCTGGTAAGCAAGCCTGTTCCGCGTACATCCACGCCGTACAAGACACATCCTCCTCCTCAATGATTGGCCCTCCCAACGTCACTCCTCTCCCCTCCCTTTCGGCCCCTCTTCCCACTTCTTCCGCCCCATCTCCCATCCCCTAACTCCCATCGTCTAAGGTACCGAGCCGAAGACGTAAGTTTACCTATCGTACTATCCTGCCACGTCGGCAACGCTGTTGTCGTGTCAGTCATAGAAGCGGTCACGGGGTGAATGTACCTAGGGTACTTAGGGTAGGGTAGGTCTGGATCGCTACCTACCCATGGTAGGGACTGTGGAATAGATCAGATGACTGCCTGATTGACTGACTGACTGCCTTACTGAGTTTAAGTTAGCTTTCTTGACTTTGTTTTGTTTTGTTTTGTTTTGTTTTGCTTGGCTGGTATGAATAGAGAGTGTACGTGACGTGTGGTGAGGAGAGGTGAGATGAGGGAGGAGGAATGGCGGTGTGGTAGGTAGGGGAGCGAGGCGAGCAAGCGAGTGAGTGCAGGTGATATGGATCTGTCAACAGGTTAACAGGTCAACACGTAGGTATGTACTAGGTAGGTAAGTGATCACAAGATAGAGCGAAACTAAGGTAGGTACCTACCTAGGCAAGTTGACCTGTAAGAAAAGAAACGATCAGTATGTATGTAATGGGATGATATGAATTCGGAAACGGAAACAGAGACGGATACGGCTGTAAATCAAGATCGGTCGGTGAGTGAAGACTGCAAGGCTAAAATGGTCGGTTGCGTGGATTGCAAAAAACATTTACAGTACACTCTGGAGAGGAAAGTGCTAGGTATGGAAAAGGGATCTCGATCCCAAAGCCGAGGTTCGACGGACTGAGTTGAAAATGTACGTACTGGACACTGCACAGTACT